ATAAATTAAGAGGTGGAGATTTCTTCTTGGTATGTTGAATGCATAAGTTATTCGAGTTTGTTTGTTTTTTTTTTAACCCATTAGTTTTAATTTAGAAATTAAGATATAAGTAGAAAGGTATATAAAAGTATGGGAAATTAATATAACATTTATAAGCAAATTTTTACCTATTGTCGGACTTTATAACGTGTAGAATAAGTGTGGGTGTAAATCAATTTACCTGAAAGTATTACTAGTATTATATATGCGCAAAAAACATTTTAAGAATCATAATCTAAGATAGATTAGTGGAGAGGTATGTAAGAGGGTAGAAAGTATATCAAAGGAGGTGAGTCATAATTGTAAACGTTAAGAGTTATAGATTTAAACGTTTAGCAAGAATATAATGTTAAATCTTTAATATGCCTACAAGAAACGGTGGTTCCTTCAAAGATTTGCAAGTTCTAGCTTGTTTTAGGATTTTCCATTTAAACTTAGGTGTTTTTCCTTCATCATTCAGTTTCCAAGAAGAAATGAAGTTGCATCTTTGCATCTTTTTTGTCTATATGAAAAATTATAATATATATATATATATATATATATATATATATATGGGATAACGATATATAAATTTTTATATATCAAGAACAGTTTTGAAAGAAAAGATGTATGACGGATTGGAAAAAGTTTATATATATACATATATATATATATATATAGAGAGAGAGAGAGAGAAAAGGAGAGGGAGATTATGTTCTAATGTTATATTTTTATATTATGAAAATGTTTGATTAATTTGTAGTAAACACCATAATTGCTATTAACAAATTTTATTTACATTTTCATTGCCTTATGCAGATGATAAAAAATAAATTAATTAAATCAAATTTAAATTAAATAATTAAAAATAAGGAAGACAAAACAATAAGTACCTTATTGTTTTTCAAACATGATTTCTGTGCGCGAGCAGACCATTTGGTACATTTTTTTATGTAATTCGAATTGGGTTTTCTTGATTGTTAGTTATCTATAAATGCGTTTAAAAGAAAACAAACGCATTTTACAAATATTAAAATTCTATAAGAAATTCGAAGAGAAAAAAAGCAAACAAAAACAGTGATAAAGATAAACAAGAATTCTCGATATAGAGCAGTAGTTAGCAAGCATATCTTGAAGGCTATTGTTAACAGTTCAATCCTCACTGGGGTCTCCAGGTATGTGACCCTTTAGGGCCTTTAGAGTACTAAATTAATTTTAATAAATACCAATCAGGGCATTGACTCGAAGCAACAATAAGCAAACTAGCCTAACAAACTATTCCTACTAAAGTGTCTGTCTTCGATTCTAAATTGCTTCCCGTAATTATGACTTTGTGCCACATTGAGCTCGTAAACTTACGATGCGCTTCATCGTGGAACATAAGTTAACAGCGTAATCATGAAACTTGTTCCTACAGTCGACAGTAGACATCTCACTTATGCGAAACGTATACTAGTAAACGCCTCGAATGATTTCCATCTTAACAAGGTGCTACAGACTTTTGGGCGTTTTATAAACTAAGTAACATCCTTACTCTCCTCTCTTCAATCCTCTAATAAAGGAAGTAAAACAATAACTTATTCGACATCTCCAGCAATTACTTGTCTACACTTGATTCCATATGTTGTAACGTGCACATTACATGACACACGAAAAAAGTACTTAAATTAAAAAGCAAAAAACTACTCAGGCCTCTTTAAACCCCCACAAAACAAAACAAACAAGACAGTGACAGGAGAAACGATTCTCAAATACGTCACCTTCTCAAATATAAACACTAGGCAATATTTAAACAAAAGAAATTGAAATGTCGGTAATGATAGTTACCAAAGTTAGTTTTCTACTTCCAAGGCCAAATTGGGACGATTGTGTTGTGACAATCTTTCAGATGAATAGAGCTTGCCTGTTTTGAAAATCAGTATTTGAAATCTTGGTTTGTATATGGGCTCAACTCTTTATCACTAGCCTTCGTGGGGAAATACGCAACTGTTTTAGCTACGAAACAGAATAAAATGCTGCTCTTAATCAAAATTAATTGAAAGTAATAAATTAAAAAAATAAACAGTTGGGGTGATTATGTTCGATATTTCAATGAAAATTACTCTCACTGTTACTGTGATGTCACCCTCAGCCATTTCTCTCAGTCTAAGCACTGTCATGATTTGGAACTGTCTCCCTTGTAGAGCTCTTCTCTAAAAATAAAGTGGCCAGTTCAAACATAGCTGGCAAGCACCATACATCTGTTTTCGTGTTCTCTCAATCTGTTTACATGGTGGCAGCGATAAAAAAAAAATGAAAATGACACACAGTCCAACAAATAATGGCAAGAATGAGACAAGAATGAAAACAGCATTTAAAAGATGGCTATGATAATAATAATAATAATAATAATAATAAAAATCTAAAAAATATGGCATATGGGAACATCAACAATCCCTGTTGTAGTTGGGGCCCTAGGACTGGTTGGAAAAGATTGCAGTAG